TTCCTCATTGGACACTTGGTTCCCTACTATGATTTTTCCCCTGACTGTAAAGTAAGGTAGCAAGGTATTTAACACTTCAGCCACTTCCTTGTTCCTCATTATAACTTATGTCTCAGCCTCAGATCTGCATTTGCTTTTGCTATACTTTCTTTCCACATAAATACTAATACACAATCCTTAAATATCTTCACTTAGCAATCCTCTTAGCTATGGGTGGATCACTCTACCCACAAAGGTTTTATTTAATACACATTCCATCAAGAAAAATAAACTCTCTTGATTGACAAATATTTACTGTATTTCAGTCTGATTTCTAAAATCAACCTAGTTAACTCACTTGATTTTTGCATATTTTGTACTGTTAGATTGTGCTTCAATATTTGCTCAGGGTGAAATTCTTGTGGTTTGAACACTACGTCAGTGTATCCATTGCTATCATGTCACTGTTGCATGACTGTCATTACAGAAGACATGATCTAAAGTAGCTTCTTCCCTCAATTCCATAATTTTTCTAGCTATACTAATTTTACTTCCTGTTCTTCCAAACAATATCCTTTTTCACTGCTGTCCTCTTTAATAAAGATTAAGGAAACCACCTGCATCCATCCCCCTGTCCCCATCTGCATTCTGTACCCACGCCATTTGTCTTTCCAGAATGTAAAGTAATTGAATATTTACCTTAGTCACCATGCAACCATGTCTCTCTAATGGGTGTTGGATCAAACCGATTTACCTTTGTGCTGTTATCTCATTATGAATGTTATCAGCTTTGAGATAATGCAGTTTTAGCTTACTACTACTTGATTTGACTTTTTAGTTCACTGTATTTTCACAAACGTTTTGACACAGGAAGGGACAATGTTTATCAATTAGAGGGAGGAACGGTGGCTCAGTGGTTAGCACTACCGCCTCAACATCAGGGACCCAGGTTTAATTCCACCTTTGGGCAATTGCCCAGTGTCTGCATGGTTGCCTCCAGGTGCTTTGGTCCAAAGATGTGCAGATTAGGTGGATTGGCTATGCTAGTTTGCCCCCTACTGCCCAGTTACATGCAGGACAGGTGGATTAGCTTTGAGAAGTTCAGGGTTAAAAATAAATAGGATTAGAGGGGTGGTGAGACAGTGTCTGGGTTAGATGCTGTTTGGAGGGTCACTGAACTCTATGGGCTGCTTCCACATTGAAGGGGTTCTATGATTCAATGAAATTGTAATGACACTCCATGGACTTGTGGTGCAGTAGTAGTGCCCCTCAAGTTATTACACGCCTCTGCAGCAGGTTGACTAGTGTTAAAAGGAGAACAGTTCCCTTTTTGCCTAGTATTGTTGTTGATACTGTATTAATCAGTTTTTGCCTTTTCACTCTAATTTTGTCCTTGTGTGGACATTGTGGCTCAGATAGTAACTTGGGAGTTTAAGTCAAGCTAAATTTAATCTTGATGAATGAGGTGCAGGGTTTAAAGGGATATGGGCCAAATGCTGGTAAATAGGACTAGATTAATTTAGGGTATCTCTTCGGTATGGACGAGTTGAACCAAAGGGTATGTTTCTGCATTGTATATCTGATTCTTCAGTTTTGCTCAGTAGAACCTTATTCCTCGTAACTATTTTGCTTATTCCCTTGTACGTAGTGACAACTGGATCCACCCCCTTCACTCAAAGGGTAGGTCCAGCTTTAAGGAGAAGTCTTTAACCCTGGCACTGGACATGTAATACAACTTTCTAAACACAAGTCATGGCTGCAGAAAATGGCATTGATCCTTGACAATAGTTGTGACCACTATTCCCACATTTTGGTTTTCATTCCTTCCATTTGAATAACCTCCTGTACAAAAGGTGTAGTATGTTATTAGTTCAACCTGCAGTTTTTGCCTCATTCGAGCAGGCACCAAGAACCTTGTATCTGGTGATTATGGTCAGAAGTTAGTTCAACTTGTGCTTCCCTCGAGACCCTGTACTCAACTGATTTGCAGTAACACCTTACTGCCCATGATAACTGATAAGAGCTGTACCACACCATAACCCAAGGGTTGTGACGGATTCTCCAGGATAAAAAGTGTGTCCAGGTAACTTAATTTTCTGGAATCTCTGCTCATCAGGCACCAGCTCTGTAGCTGAATGTGCATTTTAAAGGAGCTTTAATTCAAGGAATTAGTGCAAGTGTGTTTGTCCAGAATTATACTGCTTTCAAACTAGCAATTCACCTGCATTGCCATAGCGAACATCTTATTAATTAGAACACAAGAACAGAGCTGGGTGCAGAAGTAGACAACTCAGCCCCTCAAGTCTGCTCTGCCATTTTATGTAGTAATGGCTGATCTCATTTCAGTCCCAACCCCACTTTCTTACCTGCTTTTCATAACCCTTTAACCCATTACTGATTAATAATCTGCCTAGCTCCTCAAATTTACTCAATATTCCAACATCCGCCACTCAGGTAGTTAATTCCAGAAATTCACAACCCTTTTGAGAGAAGTAGATTTTCCTCAGTTTTAGGATAAGGGATAGTCGATTTAAAACTAATGACCACTCAGGCTAGATTGCCCACCATGATGAAACATTGTCTCTGCATCTACTTTGTCAGTCCCTTTAGCATCTTAACCCTCAATTAAATCGCTCTCATTCTACTAACCTCCAGAGAATAGGCCTAGAGTACGCAATCTCTTTTCATAAGACAAACCCTTCTTCTCTGGGAGAAATGCATTGAACCTCCTTGAGCTGCTTCCAATACGTCCCCCCTCAGGTAAGGGAGCCAAATCATATGCAGTACGATTCACTAATGCCTTGTACAATTGGAGCACTGCTTCTCTACTTTTACACCCTAGAAAAATTGCCAATATTCCATTTGCCTTCCTTATTACCTACTGTACCTGCCTACTGGTTTTTCCCCACAATTTGTGGAAGAGAACACCCAGATCTGTCTGCACCAAAACACTCTGAAATTTCCATCCATTTAGATCATAAGTTACCATTCTATTCTTGACCAAAATGGATAACCTCTCATTTATCCACATTATACTTCATTGGCCCAAAATCTGGCAATTCACCTAACCTGTCCGTATCCATTTGTAAACTTATTTCTTCTTTGCAGTCTACTTTTCCAACTTCTAAGTGTCATCTGCAATTTCACCATTGACTTGAATATGGAGACAGAAAGATTGACATTCATGTAGATTGTAAATAGTTGGGGCCTGGGGACCAAGCCCTGTAGCACCCTGCTAGTTGGGTCTTGCCAACCAGAAAAAAAGACCCACTTACTGCACATCTGCTTTCTGTTAGCTAGCCATTTCTCCTATTCAAGCTAGTAATTTTACACAAGGTAACATGAAGTAAGGCAGTATTAATCTTTGATGCAGCACCTAATCAAATACCTTCTTGAAGGCCCAGATATACCACATCCGCAGAATCCCCGTTGTCTACCTTGCTGGAGTTCTTCACAGATGTAACAAGCAAATTAGTCAAACAGGATGTACTGTGCTATACAAACATAAAACTGTGCTGACCGAGTTTTGACTTTCCAAATGTTCTGTTATTACTTCCTTAAATGATTGACTGTGACAATTTCCAGATAACACATGTTAAACTAACTGGTCTATAGTTTCTGCCTCCCTCCCTTTGAAAAAGGCCATTATATTAACATTTTTCCACAATTCAAAGTTTTCTGGCATCCAGAAAGTTTTGGAATGTCATAACCAATGGATCCACTATCTCTCCTCCACTTCCTTTAAGACATTAGTAAGTAGGCCATCAGGTCCTGGAGACTTGCCTACCTTAAATCCCAATTACTTGTTTAGTACTTTCTCTACCCCACTCCTTACTTTTGCGTTTTCCACTATTAAAATTTCCAGTCTCGTGCTCCAAGGAACCAACGTTCACTTTAGCTACTCTGTTCCCTTTATAGTCTTATAGAAGCTTTGGCTATGCATTTTTATAATTGTTGCTGGTTTTCTTTCAAAAGTGTACCTTTACTCCTCTTTAAAAACTGAAAAATTCTCAAAGGTTACTTTAAAAAAAAAACAAACAAACAATCTTGTAGCTGGCCCCTCACCTTTGCAATAAGGTATCCATTAGTTTTTGAATGTGATATCTTCAACTTCCTGGCTTTTTCATGGATGTCTTTTCTCCCCCCCCTTATATTCTCTCCTTCTGGAATATATTTCAGTTGGGATTAACTCCTTAAACATATGCCACTGCTTGTCAATTATCCTACCTTTTAGTCTTCCTGTCCAGTCCACTAGGGCCAAATCTGTCTTCAAGCCTGTATAATTACTTTTGATTAACTCCAAAAGACTAGTATGGGACTTCAGATCCTTACCCTTCAACTGAATTTGAAATGCTAATGCTGTGATCACACTTCCCCAGAGGATCTTTAATATTAGATCATTAATTAATTTTGCCTTATTACACACTACCAAAATCAATAATTGCATGCTCCTTAGTTGGTTCCACAAAATGTTACTCCAAGAAACAAACTCTTCTCAAAGCAACCCTTGCCAATTTGATTAATCTAGTCTAGCAGATTTCAGACTTAACCATTTATTATTACTTTCAATTTGTTCCAAGTCCTCTGTATTTCCTGGTTTATATTGCACCCCACTGCAGGACTTCTGTTTGGGGACCTAGAGATTACTCACACTAGGTTTTCTTTCCTCTGCTTATTTTTACCCAGTCTGATGCTACATCTTGATCAAGTGTTGATATCATTTCTCACTTATAGCACTAACTTCATCTCTTATGAACAAAGCTTCACCATCTCCTTTTCCTTCCAAAGCACTAAGTACCCTTGGATATTCAATTTCCAAACCTGGTCTCCCTGCAACTATGCCTTCGTAATCATTTTTAAATCATACCCACTTGTCTCTATTTGCACTAATAACTCATTAATTTTATTCTGAATGCTTCATGTATGTAGATACAAAGCCTTTAAGTTTGTTTGTTCTGTTATCAATTTTCCCAGCTTCTTTCAATCAATTTATAATTGCTAGTTTTTTTTTTAAAACTTACTTGATCCATTTTAGTCTTGGTAGTCAATTAAATATTTATCTGTAACACAAAGCATAATTAGATTACAGCAGGATCACTTGACTCCAAACCTGGTTACAGCCCTGATCCAACACAAACCAAAGAGCTGGATTCTGAAGATGTGGTGAGAGTGAGTCCCTCTGCCATAAAGACAGCATTTGACTGAGTCTGGCATCAAGGAATCCTAATAACATTGAAGTCAGTAGGAATTGGGGTAAAATTCTCATAGGTTGGAGTATACTCAGTACAAAGGAAGATCGTTGTGATTATTGGAGGCCAATCATCTCAGCTGCAAGTCATCAGTTTCTCAGGGTATGTCAGGGCCCTCTTGTGGTGCAGAGTTAGAGTCCATAATCTTGGACTAGGAGGCCTGAGTTCAAGTCCCACCTGCTGTAGAGGTGTATAATAACATCTCTGAACAGATTGATAGAAAAACAGGTTAAATTGAAAAGACCTCAGGGTAGTGTCCAAGGCCTAATCATCTTCAGTTGCTTCACCAATGATCTTCCTTCCATCACAAAGCTGGATGCCAGGTTATTTGAGAATAATTGCAGTATTCAATCTCATTTGTAACTCCTCAGGTAATGAAGTGATTTGTATCCTTGTGTAGCAAGACCAGGACATTTGCAGGCTTGGGCTGATAACATTAGGCAAGTAACATTGTTGTCATTAAAATGGTTATTGATCAACCATTGACAACAAGAGAATTTAACCATCTTCTCTTGTGTTCAAAGGCATTACTATTGCTGAATTCTCCACTACCAACATCCTGGAGTGTGGGCAGCTACCATTGACCAGAAACTGACCAGACATATGATAACGTCTTACTATCAAGAGCAGGTTACAAGCTTGTAAGTCTGCAATGAGTAACTTGCCTTTGTCTCCACCTCAGTGCCTCTCCAGCATCTGCAAGGCACAAGTCAAGAATGTGAGAATACTCCCCACTTGTCTGGTTCGCTGTGGCTCAAAAAACACTTCAGAACTTGACATTATTCAGGACAAAGGAGCCCACTTGATTGTCACCTCTCCACGACAATGCACAGTGGCAGTAATGTATGCTATGTGCACATCCTTCTTTGACAACACTACTCTAGCCCATGATGTCTACTGCTTAAAAGGACAAAGGCAGCAGATGGAACATCACCAACTGCAAATTCCCCTCCAAACTACACTGCATTCTCACTTGAAACTGTATTGTTGTCCCTTCATTGTTGTTTGGTCAAAATCCTGGAACTCCCTTCCTAGTGGCACTCTTGCAGTTCAAGAACATGGCTCAACATTGCCTTTTTATGTGCAGTTAGGGACGGGCCACAAATACTAGTCATATACCTAGAATGAAGTAGAAAGAACATTATACAAATAATGAAGGCAAAAAGCAGCGCTCTTCCTTTCTCTTCATACTAAATTGCCACTCGAGATGCAAGATGGCAGCAGGGTAAGATGCTCCAGTCAGAGTTCCTTTGCTCACCAGTTCCATTTCCTTCTCCTTTTTCTGTCTCTCCCCTCTGCAGTACTTACTTTTATTCCACTCCCACCCCACCCCATCCATCCAACTTTTAACTTTTACCCCTACCCGTGGAAAGGAGTCGGGTCGTGACCGGAGACCAAACAGAGCCGAACCCACGAATGTGCGGCAATGGAACCAGCACGGGCTGGAATGATGGCGGCAGATGACCAAGAGCAGAGCGAGAGGACTGAGTCCTGCAGTGGAGCTGAGTGAGCGGGCTGTGGGCCATGTCCCACGGCAGAGCGGACCAAGCAGGCAGGGGCGATTCCTGGAGCGGCGGCGGAGTGAGCCCTGGATAGAAACCGGCACGTGGTGGCAGCATGGCCTAGTGCCCTGGGGCCTGCAAACAAGCACTGGAACTTAAGTATTGATGGGCACTTATCATTCTGAACTTTTCACTGTTTTCGTGCTAATTTATATTCTTTTTATTCTGTAACAGTACCTTTCTTTTATTCCACATTTTGTGTCTAGGCACTTGTACCCAAGATGGTGCCATTAAAGGCAGCCATTGTAGAAACTTTTCACTGTATTCCTGTACTTCTGTACTGGAGTACATGTGACAGTAAAGGATATTCTGATTCTGTGCCAAGCTCCCAAAATTTTATGTGATGTACTCCATTTATAACCTTGGATGAAGCTGTTAACTATAGAGTTGATGGAAGATGCTGGGAGATCTCAAAATGTATAAATTTACAGTGCAGTTCAGGACTTTCTTCACTACTATGTATGTGTGGCGTGTTTCACTGTTGTATGAAAGGTGATATTGTTGTCGTAGCATCAACAATAGAATGTATCTTTCATCTTGATTAATGTACGAGGTTGGTTCCTAGTGGCAGAAAATTCCAATTGAAATTTTGCCATTGCTTGCGTGTAGAGTATTTTCTGTTGTATTAATGTGATGAATGAATGTCAAATTTATATATATGAGAACTGAAATGCAATAATTGGCCCACTGTATTTGCATTATTACTGTACATTTACATATTTCACTATGAGGTAATGTGCTGTGATATTTTGACAAATTAGTCTTTTGAGGCCAGTGCAAGCTTTGTTTGAAATTTGTCCACTGTGTAATTTTCAATGCACTACAATGCCTGAAAGGCTGTTGATGCAGGACTCAGCTGGTACATGATTACGTAGACCCCTGGGATGTGTAGGGTGGAGGGAAAGTTACAAAAATCATGAACCATAAACAGTGAAGTGGTGACAGCATGCTATGACTTTGAAAGAAGATCTAAATAAAAGGCGCTACAAGATACTAATAGTAAAATATACCTTTTTCAAGTCTACACTGTCTTAACTTATCAGGCTATTTATATTCCAGAGATAACCAAATATGTTCCCATTTTGTTTGTGTAGTGAGTTTAAAACGTGCATTATCAAAATATTTTCAGGCTTTAAAAGTATTGTTTATAGCAGCAGTTAACTGCAAATTAATTGTTTCGAAATATATTGAGATAAAGTTTGTAAATTGTATTTTGTAGATTTATTTTGGAGAATTAAATCTATTGCATTAGCAATGCTAAGAACATAAGTACAGCCTTCATATCAAAAACTGAAAATGTACTTTAGTCTAGACAATTGAACTAGTCATTACCAACACAACTGCTTAATTTTATACAGTAGATTAAATTATGGGGATCCTATCCATCTGCGAGACAAAATTGTTGAGTCGGCTGGTGCTTGTGTACTGCAGTGATTGATGTATATTGTTTCTGATGTGCAGCTTTTGGGTGCTGTGGCACAACAAAAGACTCGCGTCAGCGTATGGCATAGTGCAGACTAGTCGGTGTTTTAATGCAGGGCTAGAGCCATTTTCTCCTCTTCTGTGTTCATTTAAATCATGTGCTGCTGATTAGCTGAAATTTTGAATCGTATATTCTAGAAATCACGTTGCATTATAATCAGGCAAGCTGCTTTGTTTATATGGAAGATTTTCTGAACTGGAAGCTGAATATTAAATATTATGGTGAGTTAAGTCCTCTTGTGCTTTCTGCTTACATTGTTAGATCAACTTCAGTTTGTGGAGGCAAATGTGGCAAATTTCTGTTGTTATTTTTTAAAACTCCTTTATGTTTGCAACTGTTTGCTAAATAACTGTGGAACAAATTTTACTGCCAGATCAAATTATTACTAAACATAAAAATGTATTTTGTGATTTTAACATAATTGAACGATTTTGACAAATTTAGGAGAATGCCAAGTCTTAGTGACTGTAAAAGGGACATGGAATTTTTGGTAGCTAGATTTTGTTATTTAAAAATTGAAATGTGAAAAGGCTTGTAAAATGGTTGATTCCTTGTCTGTGTGTGAGATATGCCAACAATGCGTCTGGAATGATAAAGCAGCATGTAAATTAGGCTGGTTAATTTGAAGACGAGAGAATGTGTGATGTATGGAGTATTTTCCTAGTTAGTCATATCTGAATATCTTCTTATGTAGTTGAAGACTAATGGTGTTTTCTCAAACTCGACCAAATGCTGCCTCTTTTTTTTTCTCTCTACCAATTGGATCTGGGGTAACATTAAAAATTTGCAAACCAAACCTGCCTAAATTGAAATTTGCAATATCTTAAACATGTAAAATGTAAAGGTTAGGAAAAGACATAATTTAAAATAATTTGTGTTCGATGTTACAAATTCTTTCATTGATTGTACACATTAAAGTCTAACATGTCTCTTAGAGCTAATTTTTGTATCTTTCTGTGATCAGGAATTGTATTTATTTGGAATTAACCATGGGAATGTATGCTATTCATTGATTAGGTTAATGTTTCAATGCTTCTTTAAAGTTTTACACACATACAGTGGTTATCAATATCCTTCCATATGCAAGCATTCAGAAAAATGTGGGGTTAAAAGGACCTACTTACTGAGGCCATCTTGTGTTTCTGAAAGTTCAAACCCAAATGAGCAACATTACGATCTTGGGGTGGACGCAGTAACTTTTTGAAATAGTTGATGAAATTCAAAATCCCAATTATTTGCTAATAGTCACAAGATTCCACCATTTGAATCACAAATTTTACTGTACAAGGTAACAAAACAAATGCCAGCTATGTAGAGTCAGACAGCACGGAAACAGACCCTTCGGTTCAACCAGTCCATGCCAACCATAATTTCAAACTAAACTAGTCCCACCTGCGTGTGCTTGGCCCATTTCCCTCCAAACATTTCTTATTCATTTCCTTATCCAAATGTCATTTAAACATCCTCCACTTCCTCTAGAAGTTCATTCCACATGCAAACCACTCTTTGTTTAAAAAAAAAGTTGCTCCTCAAGTCTTCTTTAACATCTTTCTCCTCTCACCTTAAAAACATGCCCCCAGTCTTAAAATCCCCCACCCTAGGAGAAAGACCCTTGCCATTCACCGTATCTATACCCTTCATGATTTTATAAACATCTATAAGGTCATCCCTCAACCTCCTGTGCTCAGTGAAAAAGTCCCAGCCAATCCAGCCTCTCCTTATAACTCAAACCCTCCATTCCTGGCAACATCCTAGTAAATCTTTTCTGAACCCTGTTTAGCTTAATAATATCCTTCCTAAAGCGGGGCGACCAGAACTGGACACAGTATTCCAGGAAAGGCCTTGCTAACGTCCTGTATGACCTCAACGTGATGCCCCAACTCCTATACTGAAAAGTCTGAACAGTGAAAGCAAGCATGCTAAAAACCATCGTAATCACTCAGTCTACAT